GAGCTCACGCTGTAATGTTCTCAGTGAACGCTTTATTAGAGGAGAGACTTTAAATGAGAACATGAACAATCAAATGTTTTTGATGAAATATCACAAATTTAAGCAGATTTTTCTGACAGAAGCTTTTGAGACACAAGATGTGTTCAAGGCCCATCGGAGAGATGAGCTATTCCAGCTTGTGGGTGATAAACGGTGTAGTGTTGGGGTTCAGAGGGTTAACGCACTAATAAAGAGTTATTGATGTCACAAAGGAATCAGACTGCGGTTCTTACTCATAACTGCTCTCTCATTGACAGACAAGAAGACACTCGGAGGTCCAGGTGAGTGGACTTAGTTTCTGTCTGGGTTCGGGTCTCTTTCTCTCTGCTAGGTTCTGTCCTCTGCTGGTTTCTGCCGTGCATGTTGGAGCTGCGTAACATGATCTGTTGTCTACCTTTCTGTTAGATCCCATGAATGCCCTGACTAACCTGACAGGGGTCGGAGGGGGCCCCGGCGTCATTGGCATGGGGCCCCGGCCCACCGGTGCTCCAGTGGGTGGCATGGGGGCCATGGGGCAGATGCAGATAGGCCAGCATGCCATGGCAGGGGTGGCTGGAAACCCACAAGCCAGTGAGTGTGTTTCCTTGTTGTGGTGGTCGGCTGGAAGCCTCTAAACTGTTCTTACCTTTCGGTCTCCGCTTTGGCACGTTGGGTTTGAGACTCCAGACCTCTCCTCACACTGGTTCCCCAGCCGTGGACCAGGTCTTGTCCTTCATCTCCCTCTTGCTCCCTTTGCAGTTGGGGGTCCGGGACAGATGCCGATGCAGCAGCTGGTGCAGGCGCAGCAACAGCAGCAGCAGCAGCAGCAGTCCATCCAGTTCCAGCAGTTCCAGCAGGCCCAGCAGGCCCAGCAGCAGAATGCCATGCAGCAGCAGCAGCAGCAGCAGCAGCAGCAGCAGCAGAACGCCATCCAGCAGCAGTTCCAGGTGCAGCAGCAGCTGAGGGTGCAGCAGATGCAGCAGCAGCAACAACAGCAACAGCAGCACCACCAGAACCAGCAACTTCAGCAACAGCACCAGAACCAGCAGCAGCAGGCCCAGAACCAGCAGCAGCAGAACCAGGTATGAAACATTACACGGTGACAACTCAATGGGTGCTGGACATCTTAACATGTGATTATCTTCACATTATCTTAGCTTCACTGTTAAGTTGGTCCTAGTTTTATATCACCTGACACCTTTGCTTCACACACTGTGTGCAGATGCACCAGACCAGGATTCAGCAGCAGCAGCAGCAGATGGTGCAGCTGCAACTCCAGCAGCAGCACGCCCAGGCTCAAGCCCAGGCTCAAGCCCAGGCTCAAGCCCAGGCTCAAGCACAGGCTCAAGCCCAGGCTCAAGCCCAGGCTCAAGCCCAGGCTCAAGCCCAGGCTCAGGCCCAAGCTCAGGCCCAAGCTCAAGCCCAAGCCCAAGCCCAAGCCCAAGCCCAGGCCCAGGCCCAAGCCCAAGCCCAGGCCCAGGCCCAATCCATCCAGCACATGGTTCAGCAGCAGCAGCAGCAGGTCCAGGCCCAGGCTCAGCCTCAGCCGGGTCAGATGCCTCCACACCCTCAGCAGCAGCAGCCTGGCATGGTGCCTCCGTCTCTTGCCGGACAGATGACGTCCGCTCAGCACGTCCCCATCAACTCGCTCAGTCAGCAGCAGCACCAGCTCAAGATCCAGGCCTTCCAGGTGAGACTGAGTCAGAACGACTATTCTTCTTCTTCCTATTTTTATATGCTGCTTATTATAATCATTCATCCTTTACTCACTGCAGCTGATAAACCAGGGTTCCAGTAGTCTTGCTTAAACCCCAAACCCTTCCTCTGCTTGCATGCTTTGCCTTGTGTTTGTGTGTGAAAGCAGGCCCGTGCAGCCTTGCAGCAGCAGCAGCAGGCCCAGCAAGCCGCAGCTCAGGCGCAGCACAATGCAGCTGCTGCAGCCGCCGCTGCCGCAGCCGGACCTGGACAGGTGAGACTGCAGCCAGGTGCTTTATGTGTTATAAGGACCCACTGAGGGGTTTAAAACTCAACGAGATCCTAAAGTTCTAGAGCTTAGACATCCCTCCCTGTTTTCCCTCATTTGTATCACCACATGGACCATGTTTAAAGCCTCCTCTGTGAAAGCGACTGCTAGGAGCTGCGGTGAGAAGGTCTTCGGTGCCCGTCTAAGGCAACTTATGAACCTGCTGATGGACACCAGTGGTGAAGGAGGTCGTCAAGCTGAAGAAGGAGGCCTTTCGGGCTTGGCTGGCTCAGGGGTCTTTAGAAAATGCAGACGGGTACCAACCAGTTGTCCACAAGGGCTGCAGCTGTCGGGGTTGCCAAAGCAAAAACCTAGGTGTGGGAGGAGTTTGGGGAGAGTGTGGAGAAGGACTTTCCGTTCACCTCAAGGAAGTTCTGACGAACCGTTGGAGAACCCAGAAAGGGAAAGCAGGACTGGGCTCAGGCTGTTGTGATCAGCAGGGAACGGCAAACATTACATTACAGTCATTTAGCAGACGCTTTTATCCAACGAGACTTACAATAAGTGTATTCAACATCGGTATTCAAGAGAACTACTAGTCACCAGAAGTCATAAGTGCATCTCCTTTAAACAAGCATCTAAGAGCATAAACCAGAGCAGATGTACAGAAACAAACTAATCAGAATCAGAACCGTTTATTGCCAAGGAAGTTTGCACCTACAAGGAATTTGTCATGGCGGGTGGAGCACAACATTTAACAATAAATAATCAAATTAAACAATGACATTAAATAATCAACAACAATCAACACAATGCAAGAAATAGAAACATATTAAAATTTACAATAGAATATAAAATAAAGTGCACAACAAAGAGATAACAGGACTGTAAACAAGTCAAATGTTAAAAGTGTCGAGTGTGTTTACATAAAGAAACAGGGATGTGCAGGGGAGTGACCAGTAGGAAATTGTCCTGGGGATGTCAGTGGGGGTCCCAGGCTTTGTTAATAAGCCCGACTGACGATGGGAAGAAACTGTTCATGTGTCGTGAGGTCTTGGTCCTGATGGACCTCAGCCTCCTGCCAGATGGAAGGGGCACGAACAGTTTATGTCCAGGGTGAGAGGGGTCTGCTACAATCCTTCTTGCTCAACTAAGATGGCGCTGCGGACGGCTGCCTCGGTGTGTAGCTCTCCCAGCTGCACGTGCCCGACTCCACCTGCAAGTGGATCACAGACTTCCTGTCTGACAGGAAGCAGCACGTGAAGCTGGGAAATCACGTCTCAGCCTCCAGGACCATCAGCACCGGTTCCCCCCAAGGCTGTGTTCTCTCCCCTCTGCTCTTCTCCCTGTACACCAACAGCTGCACCTCCAGTCACCAGTCCGTCAAGCTCCTGAAGTTTGCGGATGACACCACCCTCATTGGACTCATCTCTGGTGGGGATGAGTCCACCTACAGGACTGACCATCTGGTGACCTGGTGCTGTCTGAACAACTTGGAGCTCAACGCTCTAAAGACAGTAGAGATGGTTGTGGATTTCAGGAAGAATGCAGCCCCACCAGCCCCCATCACTCTGTGTGACTCCCCCGTCGACGCTGTGGAGTCCTTCCGCTTCCTGGGCTCCATCATAATCCAGGACCTCAAGTGGGAGCTGAACATCAGCTCCATCACTAAGAAGGCTCAGCAGAGGATGTACTTCCTGAGGCAGCTGAAGAAATTCAACCTGCCAAAGACAATGATGGTGCACTTCTACACAGCCATCGTTGAGTCCATCCTCTGCTCCTCCATCACAGTCTGGTACACTGCAGCCACAGCCAAGAACAAGGGCAGGCTGCAGCGCATCATTCGCTCTGCTGAGAGGGTGATTGGCTGCAATCTGCCGTCCCTCCAGGACTTGTTCACTTCAAGGACCCTGAAGCGAACAAGAAAGATTGTAGCCGACCCCTCTCTAATACGAATACAATAAGTGCAACAAACTAATACGGATACAATAAGTGCTAAGTGGAAGGCTCAGGGTAGTGCTTCTTGAAGAGGTGAGTCTTCAGCCTGATGAAAGATGGGCAGCGACTCTGCTGTCCTGACGTCAGTGGGGAGTTCATTCCACCACTGTGGGGCCAGGACAGAAAACAGCCGTGACCGGGTCGATCGGCCGTAGGGACCTCTGAGCGACGGGGCAACCGATCGCCCCGAGGCAGCAGAGCGAAGAGGTCGTTCGGGGGGGGGTAGGGCTTGACCATGGCCTGGAGATAGGAAGGCGCTGTTCCTTTCACTGCCCTGTAGGCTAGCACCAGAGTATTAAACTGGATGCGAGCTCTTACAGGTAGCCAGTGTAGAACAAAGAAGGGAAGTTGTGTGGGAGAACTTGGGGCGATTGAACACCAGACGAGCTGCAGCTTTCTGGACAAGCTCCAGAGGTCTGATGGCCGACGCCGGGGCTCCGGCAAGTAGTGAGTTGCAGTAGTCCAGGCGGGAGATAACAAGAGCCTGGATGAGCACCTGCGCCGTCGCCTCAGTGAGGAAGGGGCGAATCCTTTGCTGAGAACGACAGTTAGTCGTTCAGGGTCACACCCAGATTCCTTGCAGTCCGAGTTGGTATCACCACGGTATCCTCAATGGTGATGGACAGGTCCCGGTGCGGGCAACCCTTCCCCAGGAGCAACAGTAGCTCGGTTTTGTCCAGGTTGAGCTTCAGATGGTGTGTCGTCATCCACTTCGAGATGTCAGCCAAGCATGCAGCGATGCGTGCCTCCACTTGAGTGTCACCGGGGGGAAATGACAAAACCTGCTGGGTGTTGTTAGCATAACAATGGTAGGAGAAGTCATGTGAGCG